TCCCTATAAGCACTGGCACCTGCTGAGGCAGGGATGAGGGTAAATGTAGGCAGCCAGAGCTAAACATAAACAAGGAAGCACCTTGCACCCAGCTACTGAGACGTAAATGCAGAGGGTTCAAGGGGGAACAGTGTGGTACCAGGTGAGACTCAAAAGTATCAACAGTTCAATGAGATCAGACATCAAATATTTACACAGAGGCTACCTCATGTAAAGAAAGCATCTTAGCATCTTACATACCCTGACATAGCTAAACATTTCCAAGCATATTAATCGAGATTAGGATTTTACAACTGATTCCACATTATATTTAAACACAGTAAGGTATTAAGTTCAGAGTGCTACAGACAGCTACTTTTATTTCAATCCTACCCTTAAGTGCTAAATAAATTTGAGGCCAAAATAGTGATTTCATCATATGATCTATTTTGTTGAATAATATTGTTAATAAATACTACTTAGATATATATACTATAAAAATCTGTAGCCAGGAGGACAAAGACAAAACAGAGTTAAATTTTATTCTATTTAGACGGCAAATAAGTCATCGATTCTTGCTATGGCAGTCTCTCTTAACAATATATAGAGAACATTATCCAGCTAAAAGGGTCTTGTTAAAGACTCAAGATACCAATGTATTTTAGTATATCATAAACATCTTGTTTGACCTTGGTATTAAAAAGTAACAATCTAAAAATCTAATCACCTTAAAGTATGAAATTTTGCATACGACTAAAGAAAAATGCTTCTGTAAGTAATAAATCGATGTTCCCATCCAAGACGGGCCATGCTGGATCCCTGAATGGAACGGGAAGGGTGTCGGCGGGGACAGCACAGACTCAAGGTGGCTGCTAGCTTAAGTACTAACAGAACTGGTTTCTCTCTGTGGAAACAATACTTAACCTAAACTGAGGAGAAAAGCGAGTGGGATGAAACAACTGCAAGGCAATACCTCAGTCTCAATATTAGGCCATGCCGTTATTGGCAAGGGAAGAGTCAAGCTGTGGCAGACCACTGGCATTTAGTTTATTTATGATTAAAAAGAACGATCTGTATCATTCTTTATAAATTTTTCAGGTACAAATGTAAATGGCACCTGGGCAGGACTGCTGCGTGGCAGAGAGTCAGAAAGAAGTTACATGCCCCAGTACTCCTTATCCCACATCTCAGTAAGGTATTTTATCCTCACGGAGACTATAGCGGGAATGCTTAAACTGTTCAGTTATATTTTACTACATTTCATGGAGGAAAGTTATGTTCTGAGGTGAACTTTATGATCTGGGAATTCACAAAGAACTCACAAAATATTCTTTATGACTATCTTGAGTTTATACTGAAATGTTCCTGATATTATAGCAAAAAAAGTTTTTCAAACAGTAGCATCTATATATGCCTCATAGTTAAAACTAATAAAAAAAAATACTATGTTACTAAGAATGAGAAATGATGGTTTAGGAGGTTGAACTCCAAATTTTCACAATGGAAAAATATTCATCCAATTGCCTATTCTTCAAAATGAAGGTGAGCCAAGTAACCTTAGTATCCTGGAAATGCAGAACTTAGATTTCACAGGTCACATAAACCTCCATCCTAAAATCTGAAATCCTAATCCAGTGTACTCAAAGAACTCTTAAAACTGAAAAGCCTAAGGCAGCAGTGAATGGAAGTTACATTTCCCAGGGTCCCAGGCTACTCTTTGAGTCCTGCAGGGTGAGCACCTCTGAGATGCAGGCTGTGGGTGGAGATAAGAGGAAAGACAGACATAGCACACACAGAAATAATCTCCAGAACAGAAAGCTCCACTGGAAAAAAAAAAAAAAAGGTGGTTATGCATTCTCTTGCACTGAATGCTGCTAGCATGGTAAGATGATCATGAGTTACAAAAAATTTTTCCACTTGTAGAGGTCAATGTGTTCAGCAACAGGCTTTAGTTTTTGTTAAAGAAATTAAATTTGACAGGGAATAAACAGCATATGGAATACTGTACAAAGGGGACGACACAAAACCAATTGCGCCAGTTAGTGAAAGCCTGCTGACTGTTCTGGAGAGAAGGAAACTACAACAGCATTGAGAGGGGAAAAGACTCCTTCTCTAAACAATGGTTTCCTGGGTTCATCTTTCAAAGCTCATGCCAAATCATGAATTCCAGTTAACACACACCTCGGGCAGAGCAAAGTTTGGAATTTGGAGAACAAAGAACATATTCAGAGATCTTTTGGATGTATTTTCTTTTCAAAAATAAGGAAAGTAGGAAGAGTGGAGATGGAATGAGGCCCTTTGGGACTCTTTTTTATTGGGATAACGGGAAAGATCTGTAAACAAATTTCCCGTGTTAAATGAGGAATTTTAGAAGGACAACTTTTGGGGGTCTCTTTTCATTAAATTATTTTCTACCTGATATGCTGGTATTCTACAATAGTTAAGTGACAGTGTTTTATGTAACTCAAAAGACAGACTAAGATAATGTTTCTAGAACGTTCAGCTTTCTGCTCTCAATCTCAACCAGTGACTGACTGCGCATACCTGGGAACCATTTTCCAGGGCATCCTGTTTGTGCTGGACCTGGTTACTGCTGATCACAGAAGGGAGGGTCATGCTTTGGCTTCCTCGGAGACCCTTCTGCCCAGTGCAGTTCCCGGAACCCAGACTTTTCCCAAGCTCTAATGTCTTTCACAAACACATTCTGGGATGTGATCAAGACTAGCAGAAGTGATGGGAAAGGACAGCGAATAGACAGAAAGAAGTTGGTTTCTTTTTTTTTTTTTTAAGTTTTTTTTTTTTTTTTTGGGAGATTTTTCCCGTATGGGCAGTGGCGTTCTCA